TGTTTGTCGAAGTTGAAGGTCTTCCAGTACGGTCTTCATCGGCGACCTCTTCCCGGCCCTCTGAAAATTTCTGGTGCCACCGAAACACACCACTTCTTGCTAAAGCAATATCTGGGTAAGCTTGCTTGATCATATCAAACGTCTCTGTCGCAGATTTACCGAGTTTTACACAGAATTTAATCGTGTACCTCTGCTTTAGTGAACGCTGCATTTTCGGCTTGCACCACTCACAGAAACACGTCGCGCGAAAAAGCCTGTCCTGACTCTCCAGGTGCTCGGAGGCAACTCACCAGCCGCTCGTTCGTTAGCTAGGAATGCCCTCTACCGAATCCAGTCGGTGCGCGCACGCTCCGAAGTACAGTCGCGGCGGAAGGAAATCAGTCCTGTTACTTTCCGGACAAACCCTGTATGAAGGAACTAAATAATGGGGATGTTTGGTTGTTGCTCCTGTTAGTTTTTGTAGCTTACTGGTCAGAGCACTGGTACGTAAAGACAGAGATCCCGGGTTCGATTCCTGACGAGGGTGTGAATATGTAGTGGATAAAAATTAAATGAACTTTCACGTTAATATTTTTTCCAAAAGTTTAATTCGGAAGCACTAAAAATGAAAAATGAGACAAGGACAAAATGTAAGGAAGTCGAAATTGAATTCCATACCACGTTTGCTTTTACCGGACTCCATCAGGTTTCTCTTCAAATATGCAAAAGAGTGCTTCGTTTACTAATATAGGTAACCGTGGCAACTTCTCTGAACAAACAGAAGTCAGCGTTATATTTTCCTCCTAAATGCCACTGAAACGTACTCTCGAAATATTTGCTCAGGAAATTTACTGAAAGCATTCATTTCATTTCTTTGCCAGACATATTTGGGAAACGAAACCTACATATAATAACGATCCCATCCATAAAAAGATGACCGTTACATTTAACAGGTAAACACAGCCAGTTAATACAGAGTCTACCGAGCGGCATGGCCTACAGGTTTAGACCATTGCTTAGCATTCGGGAGGACGCCGATTCGATTCCGGATCCATCTGCCTTTGTCCAAGTTTTTCCTGAGAAGGTATCCTACAAACCTATCGCCTATTTCTAATTGACATCTATAAAGTTAAAGTCCTCTATTCTCCTATTGTTTCTAGTACCTCTTCATTTCTAACCTTCTCTATCCCCGGTGTCCTTATCATTCGCCTGCAACACCACATTTCGAACGTTTCTAACCATTTCTTTTTCACCGCGCCCACCGTTCATATCTTTTTATTGAAGGTAACACGACCCTGCGCTATCCTCTGCTTTATATCCCTACTACTCCTTTCGTCCTGACTTATCTTACTTCCTAAGTACCTAAATTCAGACACGAAACGAAACCTACATTTAATAACGATCCCATCCATAAAAAGATGACCATTACATTTGACAGGTAAATACAGCCAGTTAATACAAAGTCTACCGAGCGGCATGGCCTACAAGTTTAGACCATTGCTTAGCATTCGGGAGGACGCCGGTTCGATTCCGGGTCCGTCTGTCTTGGTCCAAGTTTTTCTGTTGTTTCCTTGGATCTCTTAGGCAAATGCTAGGGCAGTAATATTCCACAGATAATCCTTCATTCTCTTCTGTCTTCATTTCGTCCGTCTCAAATTTCTCACCCGAACCACCACCCACCCATTCCCACGATTCCTGAAAGCAGGCTGAAGAGGGCCCTCCGCCCTACCTTCCGGCGTAGTCCGGAGGGACTGCCCGCCCACCAGCATTACTGCCTGGTGGGAATGAAACACCCAAAAGAAAAAAAAATAGAAAGCCAGCTGGAACTTTAAAATGTAAGTACTTCTTAAGGAACAAGGTAAACTATAAACTAATCTTAATTGGGCATAATTTTCAGCATCAATGTTAATCTAAATCTAGATTAGGAATTAAACAGTGTCTTAGAAAATTAATAAGTGTGTGTGTTGCGCGTGTGTGTGTGTGGAAGCGCGCGCGCGTGTGTGTGAGGAAGCGCGCGCGCGTGTGTGTGAGGAAGCGCGCGCGCGTGTGTGTGAGGAAGCGCCCGCGCGTGTGTGTTGTGCGTGTGTGTGGGTGCGCGCGCGCGAGTGTGTGTGTCGTGCTCTTCGTTTCCATATTACATTCCACATTCTTGCATGAGCTCCTGGTCCAGTGATCTGCCGTATCCAATTTTCTTGCTCCTTTCCCGTGTACTCACATTTTTCTAGGACACGTTGTAGTGATTCCTTCTCTTTCTTATACATTCTGCATAGTTTTTCTTCCTCTGGTAGCCAATACATAAATATATTTTTATATCTAGTTTTTGTCTTGTTCTTTTGCAATTTTCCATTAGTTGATTATAGTAGTCATGTGTCCATTTCTTTTCTAGAAAGTAATTCTTCCTTCCTATCTTCCACTTTTCCGTCATTGGCCCTTTCCCCCTTTCACCTTATCTTTTTCCCGAATTTAATTTCAACATATTGATAAAGAAAAAGGATTTATCTCTAGTTTTTGTCTTGTTCTTTTTCAATTTTCCATTAGTTGATTATAGTAGTCATGTGTCCATTTCTTTTCTAGAAAGTAATTCCTCCTTCCTATCTTCCACTTTTCCGCCATTGGCCCTTTCCCCCTTTCACCTTATCTTTTTCCCGAATTTAATTTCAACATATTGATAAAGAAAAAGGATTTATAATAACATGCAATTTAGAATACGAAAAAAATGATTTAAAACTCTGCAGTAAATGACTAACTGTTTGCGACAGTAGGTGATAGACGGTAATAAAAAAAAAAACTTGAAGGGTTGCAGACGTTAGGGGCTGCATAGTCTTTAGGGATTCATCGGACGCAGAAGCGTTACATCAAAACGCAATTAGCTTGCATAAATTATTTCAACAGTTTCCGTAATTACGCTAGCCGTTGCCAACTAATTGCCGTGAACCGTTGCCAAATTTAAGATTAATACAATGGAAGTGCCAAGCTCACAATGGGTCACACAAGTGTTTAAGAAACTAACACTTACTGCCATTAGCATTTTGTCTGCATAATTATACACGGTGGCCTGATATAATTAATACACTCCAGAAACATTACTTAAGTTGTAATTCCATAAAATAATTCTTTTGCACAGTGAATATTCGACGCAACGCATTGCGATCAGCCACGTGTAGATGACACGAAACATTACATTGTGGGTGAATATCTACAACCACAACGCAATGTACACTTTGGAAGGTGTACGAGCACGAATTGTAAATCGTAGATGAGTTCTGAGAAGCTGTAATACATTTCCGTTAATTTTACAAATGTTTTACGTTGTGGCTCAATTTATGAGGTTGTGAATTAATTAATTAACGCACTGTGTTTGTTTTTGGAAGGCAATGTTGTTAATTTAGCCAATAGTACATCATGAATTTTACGTTGTGGACAAATCAAGCCACAACGCGATAACAACGAATCTAGGCAGAGAAGTCGCAGTACATTTTCGTCATTTCTGAAAGTGCAAATATATACGTTGTGAATGAGCTCAACAAGTCACAATACACTGTACATGAATTTTACGTTGTGGGTCAATTTATGACGTACACCACAATGTAATAATTTTGTAAGTAACCCCGACACTCTATCTAGCATTGTCAATATAAACTCTAGAAACTGGAACGTATTGTCGTCGTTTTTATAAATTCTGCGATACAAATCTTACGTTGTGGATGTAATAATTTAAGAAGGTTTTGTGTTGCAGATGAATTTAGAAGAGTACAACACATTATCAATTCTGTAAAAGCTTTAACACGAATATTGCATTGTGTGTATGAATTCGAGGAACCGCAACGCATTATAGTCAGTTTTCAAAGTACTAAGATGCAAATTTTGCGTTGTGTACGAATTCGGAACACCACAACACACTGTAATTATTATTTCAGAAAGGAAACTTGAAACGATAGTTGTGCTTTAAGTCAACTCATATTTACGTTGTGTCCGTGTATGAAAGTGAGAGTGACACAAACGTTGCGTTGTGGGCATACATTCAGGAACCCACAACTGCATTGTGAATGCGAATATGAGGAGTTACAATGAGTTGTGGCCTTGTTTTTTTACTAGATTATTCAACGTAAGGACTGATTTGGTTTTTGCAATCGTCTTCAAGTTAGGAAATGAGGCTTTAACAGTGTAAGGACCAGATCTACGGAAGGTTTAATTAATTTAGAGTGCAACTGCGGGATGACGCTAACTGTGTGGTATATGTATGTATATTTGCACGAAATTCTGTTTTTCCAAGGGTCTCCTCGTGCACAATTATGCAAATTGCCGGAATGGTCTGGCGACTAGACTGTAGCGAGTTTATTTTAGCATCATATCGAGTTTAATTATAAGCAGTTACGAGCGAAACTGGGGCGCATTTAGTGAAATTATTGCCTGCCGAGCTATTATAATGAACTGTCCGGCCCCTTCGGGCTCCGGAAAATCAACCCCCACATCCCGACAGACAACTGTTTACCTTCTACCTTTACCTGCCTCGAGCTGTTTGCTACTTAGTACAAACAATTATTATTATCGCTAACACAGACGGAAGTCTGTCATGCAGTCAAATTTAATCTGAATGGTCAAACACCTATCGTTTTTGACATCTCCTCATCATCATCATAAGGTCGTCAGTCCTAACACTGGTTGGACACGTACCTCCACTCTTTCCTATCCTGAGCTAAACTTCGCATTTCCNAACGTTGCGTTGTGGGCATACATTCAGGAACCCACAACTGCATTGTGAATGCGAATATGAGGAGTTACAATGAGTTGTGGCCTTGTTTTTTTACTAGCTAAAATTTACAAAATACGAAATAAAAAAGACATTCAGTCATTAATTATCATTTTTTATTGTCTAAATGACAGCAGTTAGCATTAAAAATGAATTACAAAAAAATAACGCTATATTTTTATTAATAAAATCGTTATGCGTAATGTTCTTTAATGCTTGCTTTAAATGTTCATGCCGTCTGGCCAACATAAACGTTTTATGACAGTTATTAGGCCTTAATTTTATTCGATTAGGAGTTTTACATTTGCTGTCGCTGTCACAACTGTAATAACTGTCGTTAAAACGTTTAAACGAAGTGAAAATGAGTAATCAAATGAATAAACTGAGTTTGGGAAAAGACGTGAAGAAAATTTCAATAGAAAGTGACGAAGAATATGAAGAGGACTATGATTACATGGTAGATATTACTGGCACAATTTACCAGTTTTCGGCAAAAACTTTGACTGGCGATGACCTATCATTTCTCAGATACAAGGGATCCGTGTGCCTTATAGTCAACATTGCATTTCAAGACAAAGAAAGTTCTTCACAATTTAAGGAATTGATGGAAATTTATACCAAGTAAACAAAAAATTTTTGACACAATCATTTTATAAAAAAGAAATTGAAAATAAATTATGTTTCAATAAATCTGACCAAAACCAGATCCCCCAGAGTGACCGGGAGAATCAGCAACAATATGAAGTTACGGCGAAACTAAAGGAAACTATCGACTTAGGCGTAGGTCTGGAATCACCCATCCCCTAAGGGAAAATGGCATTCAAATAAGGAAAGAACCCGCCCGAATGGCACATCTAACCCCACCGCAATGCTACTACCAGTACCATAAGGGCAGGGAGTACCGGCTCAAGCTGGTTACCGGGCTCCTCACATAGTTTCCTCTATTGAGCGTACTATGGGTTAGTTCTCAGCGAATTTCTGCAGCTCAAGGGATCATTTTCCATACTTCTACCGACTTGGTATAAGTATGGGTCCTGCCAATGAGGATGCTACACCTTAAATCTCCACATGTTGACTAAGACCATAGCAAACTTGCTATGTCCTGACACCACTTTCCGAAGCTAGCAACGTGCGATAGCCAAATCCCTAAGCGCATGGCGTATCCAGCCGCTTAATGGATTTGACAAAGTCCTTAGCATTCAACTCTAGTATCCGAGACAAAGCCTGAGATCGTAGTAAAAATGTGTGGAAGATGTTCCGAAGAACTGGTCTCGTCAGTTACATTGGGGTTGCCCAAATGAGATGAGTGTCAAGGTTTAGGAGAATGTGGAGATTCCATGAACCCAAGGTGACTTATCGGTGCCAGAGTGTAAGTAATTCGATTGGAAAAGGGCTTTGTTTTCGGATTCAACTTGTTGTTTTAACTTGTACTACAGGATACTCGGGTGTTCCAGGTGATATCTTTCAATGGTTACCATTTTACTTCCAGTGTTCACCCATATGGCAAGTTTTTCTCCTGTTTATAGTAGCCTTGGGACCTTGTGAAACAATAAACTCGCAGATAGTCGCAAATAACTACAGATGGCGTTCACTATTTCGTCTGTAATTATTTATTAAACGCCTTTGATGGTAGCAAGTGGTTAGGTCGATATTCCGTCGGATCATTAATAAAGAAACTCAATGTTCTTAAAATGATTTTAAAGTATGTAACTATGGCATACACGACACGCGCTGTATTTGGTTTCAGGTACGGCCAAAAAAGGGATTTCTACATTTTGGGATTCCATTGCGTACAGTTCAACAGGGGAGAGCTTACAGAAAATGAAAAACTAATAGAATCTATAATGAAACAAAATATACGTTTCCCAGTTTTCCAAACTATTGACGTCAATGGTCCCAACGCACATCCTCTATTCCAGTTCCTACGTTCGCACAGAAGAGGCACAAAGACTAACTTCATACAATGGAATTTTACCAAATTCATAGTGGATAGAAAAGGAATACCAGTCGAAAGGTTCGGACCATCCATGAGACCAGTGCAAATTTTGCCTTATCTATACAAATATTTTTAGTAACAATTTACCTGTTTTATATTTAATGGTCATTTTTTATTTAAAGTATACCTACTCACTGTAAACTGTGGCACAAATAAATAAAATTAATTAATCGCATAACTAATAAAACTACAGGGTTTGTCCGGAAAGTAATAGGACTGAGTCGATTTAAAAAAATTTATTGAGCTAATCGTTACAATTCTTTAAAAACTTTCAAAATAGGCTGCTTCTGCATCGATGCAGCGCTGCCAGTGCGATTTCCGAGCATTGAAGACGTCACGGAAGGCATTCTCCGGAATAGCCTTAAGAGCCGCGGTGCATGCTGCTTGGATCCTCTATCGTCTCAAAATGCTTGCCTTTCATCGGCCTTTTCAAGCGAGCTAACAAAAAAAAGTCCGGGGGAGGCCACATCTGGGCTGTAGGGCGGCTGCGGAAGCGTAGGGATGCCGGCCTTGGTCAGATATCTGTCCACAAGAAAGGTGGTGTGAGCCGGGGCGTTATCGTGGTGCAACTTCCAGTCGGCTGCGATGTCTTGTCGGACCTGATTGACCCTTCGTTTGAGTCTCTTGAGCACTTCCACGTAAAACTTGGCGTTGACGGTTTGTCCAGGAGGAACAAATTTATCATTTTTTTATTG